CTCTTCCGATCTCCCCAAAACCCCAAAACCCCATGGTGTGAGTTATAAAGTAATATCACTGAAAAGTATAATTTAAATTGAATTTAAAATTAGTATTATGGAGAACAAAAATTTAAATCAAAACAGCAATTTTTCCGAATAATCCCCTAAAGCAAGCCCAGAGATTAAGTTTTACTAGCTGCCTCAAAACACAGAGGGGATATAGCCTATTCATTTGATTTATTACAACTAAGAAGAAAGTACAAAACATATTAAAGTTATTAATGAAATTTAGAAAAATTCCGAGTATCTGAGGAAGCCAAAACCTTTCTAACATCCATCAAAGAGAAGGTAGGAGTCATCTCGGTTGCTGGTAAATACAGAACAGGAAAGTCATTCCTGTTGAATAGAGTTATTATCAATAAGAGAAATCAGGGTTTTGGGGTGGGCCCCACCATTAATCCTTGTACAAAGGGATTATGGATCTGGGGAGATACTCTGGAAGGTGAATATCAGGGTGAAAAACTCAAGATCCTCCTTATTGATAGTGAAGGTATAGGTGCGTTTGACGAAGATGAGAATCATGATACTAAGATATTTTTACTAGCACTGCTGCTCTGTTCTTATTTCATTTACAACAGTATGGGCACAATTGATGAAAACGCCATAAATAATTTATCACTAATTGTAAATTTACTCATTAATTAATATTTTAGATTAATCTATCGAAAGAGCTTTAAATCAAGTCGGAGGTGCTTGGAGATTGTGATCCAGATGAGATAGCTAAATTCTTCCCATCCTTCCTCTGGGTAGTCAGAGATTTCTCTCTTCGTCTGAATGATCTCTAGGGCAACTCTATAACATCTAAAGAGTACTTTGAAAATTCTCTCTAGCCCCAGAAAGGAACAAGTGACCAAGTTGAAACGAAAAATAGAATCAGAAGACTGGTCAAGCACTTCTTCAAAGATCGAGACTGCTTTACTCTAGTTAGACCAGTTGAAGAGGAAAAGTAGCTTCAAAGCCTATAATCGATGCCTGATGAGCATCTTAGATAGGAATTTCTTCAGTCTATCAATTAACTGCGAACAAAAATATTCAAAAGAGTGAGACCCAAAACATTGAATTCCAAGTTCATCACTGGAGAAATGCTTCTTGAGTTATGCTATGCTTACACAGACGCCATAAATACAGGAACATTACCTAATATATAGAATGCATGGTCATATGTATGCTAAAATGAGTGCTAGAGAGCTATAAATGATTCTATCTCCTCATATGAGTAGTAAATCAGGAAGGTCTTAGAAAGGGCTAAAGCTGAGTGCAATGAGGAATTGATTAGCAAGGATCATCGACATATCAAAGAGTAAGCAGTTCAAAATTTTAAGCAGAAGGCAGTAGGACAGGAAATTCAGGAGTTCGAACTTTAACTAAGAGACGGCATATCAAAGAAGCATAAAGAAATAAAGCTTGAGTTTATAAGGTTCTGCAAAAGCAAGGCTTATGCATTCTTAGAAAATGATGTATAAAATCTCAAAAGAAATTTGTAGAATGATATGTACGATAGCATAGACAAATTTCTAGAAGATATTGACAAGCTCAAGTAAAAGTACAATGAATCAGGCCCAATCTTCTCAGGTAGACTTGAAATCTTTTCTGAAATTTCTTAAGCACTAATCAGCAAAGCTGCGGACTTCTTGACTATTTCAAGTAAAAAAGAGTCAGATGTTAGTCTTAAGAAGCTCAAAGAGCGAGTATCCGAGCTTGAAAGAGAAAAGGCTCAATTAAAGATAGATTATAGCAGTGATAAGAAGATACTTGAGTCTAAGATTATTGAATTTGAGATAGATAAGAATAACTCGGTTAGAAATGAAAAGCTTCTCGAGGAAAGGTTGAGATACCTTCAGGAGGACAAAGATAAGTCTGAGAAGTCTATCATTGATAAATGGAAGGAGAAGTTTGAGGAGAAGAATGATCAAATTAGAATTCTAGATAATAAAATACGTGTGCTTGAGAATCAGTTGAAACTTAAGGAGGATGACAGCTTTAAGAAGACAAATGAGTTCGAGAAGCTTAACGCCTTGATAGAGTAAAAGCTTTAACTGACTGAGAAAGAACTCGTAGAATACAAGCAGAAGTATTCAGCGAAAGACACTGATTATAAGGAAATTAACAAGGAGCTTTATAACAGCAGGAAGGAAGTATAGTAGCTTGTGAACTAGCTCCATAGAATGGAGCAGGAGAAGAATGACGAGATCAAGCAGCTGAAATAGGAACATGAGTTCCAGTTGAATTAAGCTTCCTCTGGTAACCCCTAAGTAGTGTCTGATGATTAATAGTAAAAGTGGATACAAGAGAGATAAACTATGCAGATACAGCTTAATTTACTAACTGATACACTAGAGTCTCAGAAGAAAATACAAGAAAGTTTGCTCCAAGCTCTTAATTTTACTAAGCAACACCAAATCAGGTAAAGTTCACCTGAGAGAGATGGAACTACAGAGAAAGTAAAAGCTAAGAATAAGGAACTAGTAGTTACAAATCAGAACCTATCGTAGTAAATAGTCTAGATGCAGAGCAAATAAATGAACTTGGAGAAAAGCATTTCAAACTTGAAGTAGTTTAAATACATGATTCATTATGCTATTGCGATGTAATGCAAGAACTGCAATAAACTCTATCCAGTTAATTAATACTCGCAGCACTTGCCTGCGTGCAATAGAGAGAATGAGAGAGTTTCTACACTCAATGCATAATAGAATATATATCCAATCAATGTTATGATAGTCAGCGTTTTCAAGTAAAGCGATGAGTATAACTATGATATCTAGGTAGATAAAAATGGCTAGGTTTGGAGAGTTTCTAAGAGACTCAATGAGTTCAGAATGCTATTTGAAGAGCTGTACAATCAATTCCCAACATACACCCTTCCATTCATTCCTGATGAGTGGCTCTAAAACGCTACAGATGATTTTATGATAAAAGATCTGAGGAAAAAGCTTCAGGTCTTCATGATGGATCTAGTCAAGATTCCATTCATTAGAGGAAACCAAATTTTCAAGCAGTTCCTTGAGATGGATCAAAACTATATAGAGGAAGAAGGAGAGTTCGATTAAAGAAGGACTACCTTTTAAAGTATGGGAGGCGTCACTGGAGGAAGCTCAATGTCAACTACTCTTAACTCAGGAAGACCATCTATAATGAACCCATTTTCTTCAGGGCAGCAACAAATATCTATGATTAGCAAAAATATGGATGGTCGTAAAAGTGTAACCCCAGTTCTTAATACATAAATTCTCTCAAGGCAACAGCAGGATAACATCGTAGTTAAGAAATCAAATATAGTTAACTAGAGTTTATACAACATGAGAGACTACATCCAGGAGCTTGTGGATGATGAAGATCATAGCAGTATTGCATCTAATAATAGAATATCCTAGATGATGTTAATTGGTGATGACATCAGTAGCAGGCCATCAGTCTTCTCAGTCAAAAATCAAGACGCCAGAACTGACAATATCTTCTCCAGCAAGAACAACTCGCCATTCCAGCACATTGATGTAAATAAAATGTCCTAAAATGTTTAGGTCGTTATCTCCAAGAGCAAGGAAAGATACAGTCAGAGAAACTTAGTAACTTATGAAAACGAAAATATGAGTGTCCCTCAAGATCACAATGAGTTTGAAGACTCTTTCACCAATGACATTGCAGACATGTCAGTATCAAGTAAAAAGAACCTTGAGACTCTAGACGATGAAATCTTCACCCAAAGATCAAATTTTCAAGACTAATAAGAATCTCCACTTCAAGCTGATTACACAAGAACCAAGAGTAATCTAATGAAAAAATTTGAGCAAGCTGATACCCCCTCACTTATGAAGAAAGGATCCTTTAACAGATACGAAGCCAATTCAGAAGACGAGGATGATCTCAATTAAAGAGAAAATTAAAATAAGGGTGGACTAAGTAACTTAAACCATAAAAAGATAGAATGAGTAATAACCTAAAAGCTTAATTTGTGTACAAAAATATATCATTCGATATGTATCAATCTTTAAGATCAGGGGTTTTGGGGTTTTGGGGTTTTGGGG